CGGATACCTGCTGTTGCCGCTGCCCGGCCGGGACCACGCGTCGCGGGCGCTGCACATCCACGCCGGCCGCGAGCTGCGCTGCAAGGTGGGTCGGGCTGGGCCGGGCCGGGCCCTCTCCCTCCTTCTCCCGCAGGCGCCCGGCGCGGCCGTTGGTCCCCGCGCTCCATCCCCCCACGTTCTAACCCCCTTCCTCCCCGCCGCTGCGAAGTTTCCCCTCACGTGTGAACCCCGTTCCGCGGGCTCGGGCGGCTGCTGCCACCTGCTGCCCGGCGCGTACCGAGCCCGCTTTGGGATGGGGCTTGAGACGACCTGGGGAGGGGGGTTGTCAGTGTGGTGTCGCCCTGCCGGCCTGTGAGGACGTTGTTGGTGCGGCCGTGTTTCCAGGCAGGGCTAGGATGTGAGTAACCCCAGCGTGCTGTCAGACCGCCCCATCCTTGGCCCCCGCCCGCCCGTGCGAGCCCTTAGCCTGCTCAGTCCCAATGTGTGTGCGCGGGGCAGAGCTGACCACAAAGCCATTGGGGACATCTCGGATTTTCACATCGCCAGGATTTGAAAGCATCCCTTCGACTTGTATTCGCGTGGCTGGTGTGGAGGGCCAGGGCGTTTCTTCTTGTCCCCACTGCGTTATCCATAGAAAGGTGTTATAAGGGAAGCTGGCTTCAGCACCCCGGCTAATGGAGAGTGTCCTTTTTTACTCGTCCTTACAGGTGTTCCCTCTCAAACACTACCAGGACAAGATCCGACCTTATATCCAGCTGCCATCGCATAGGAATATCACTGGCATAGTCGACGTGATTTTGGGGGAGACCAAGGCCTATGTCTTCTTTGAGAAGGACTTTGGGGACATGCACTCCTATGTGAGAAGCTGCAAACGGCTGCAAGAAGAGGAGGCTGCCAGGCTCTTCAAGCAGATCGTCTCCGCTGTAGCTCACTGCCATCAATCGGCCATCGTGCTAGGTGACCTCAAGCTCAGGAAATTTGTCTTTTCTAACGAGGAAAGGTGAGATGTGATTTCAGGTCCACCTTTGAGAAGGGCTGGGGGGAGAGAGCCCTTTTTTGGTTGTGGAATCTGTCCAAATTAATGAGGATTTTTGTAAAAGTGTCAGGGAGGGCTAGAATTAAAACAGCCTTGTTTGAGGCAAATGCTGTAAGGAAGTGGAAAAAGAGTGATATACCAGCTCTTGCCTATAATACATGTGTTGTGCACAATATTTCTTTATTTACCCACCATGTGTCACAGCTCTAATATGTACATATTTATTTTTACTTAACACTTCACTGTGTACTTACTGGGGTGGGTTTCAGTCCAATTCAGCAGCAGCTCAGCAGGGGGGAGTTGGGGGCAGGGGGCACCTTGGCATGCAAAAGGATGACTTTGAGCTTGGTTGGTATTGAGTGTTGAAATTAGGTTTTTCATGAGAATCAATCAAAGTGAAATGAATAAAAGGCACAAGCAAAAATTGAGAGGGGTTAAAGTATTATGCAACAAAAGGAAACACTTCTGTTTTTGTAGTAGTTGAGGAATGTATCATTCAGATCCCGCTGCTATACCTGGGCCTCTGTAGGTTGACTTATGTCCCTGTGCAAAGCCCTACTAAAGTTGATGAGACTGTGTGAATCACGGGTTCAAACGTAGTAAAGATTGTCTGGGAGTTGTCCTAGAGGAAATGTACATTTGACACTGAAAATACAAAAATGTGAAATGGGCTATCTGAAATGGTTATAGGGAGAGAAGACCGTGAGTGGTCATGTTCATCCCAAAACACAGATTTGTAAAAACGAGATTTACAGAACCTAAGTTGGTGGAAATACTTCTCTTTTAACACAGGTGGGTGGGAGGGAGAGAGAAAGTTTGGACAAATGTCCCTCTGCAGTGCTTGCTGCTCTGTTACTGCTATTTACTGTAAACAAAGCTGAAGAGATGGAGAGAGTTAGTCACCTCAGTTGAAAAGGACTGCTTTATTTACCTCAAAGTTTGTCGTAAGCAAGCAACATTAATAATGGAAAGAACACTTAAAAAAAAAATTCACTTTTATACTAAGGGCAGCATTAATATACCAAAAGACCATAAATTAGCTTGTTTAGTACTTTTTTTGTGTTTTAGTTTATTATTTTGTACAAAAAGTGACAAGTACTTGGTCACTAGCTTTGAAGAAAAAAAAAAGAAAATTGGAAAAGGAAAGAATGAAAAAATGCCTGTATGCCTTCAAAACAGTAATTCCCTTGAAGGAAACTGTTTCAGGTTTTCCCGCCCATAATCAGATGAAACACATGCTGAAATGTTAGATTGCACATAGTCTTGCTCATTTGGAAATACTCATTGCACAGGCTAATGTCATATGCGTCACATTTGGCAACAAGAGGGTTAAGCAATGCAAGGCAGACTCTGTTAGTCTAACAAGCACAGGTGCAGAGTTTTAGTGCTACAGCAGCCAATCAAAGGCCAGCAATATAGGTTGAGTCATATTTTCCGTTTACAGAACCAATGGGTATTTTACATTACAACAGGAGGTCACATTAAGGACACACCGCAGTTAACATATTTACACACCAGTAAGCTGGAAGGCAGGACAGAGCCCTCGAAGAGCCATCACTTTACTCTTCAACTAATGCAAAATCTTCCTATTTAACCTAATCGGTATAGAGCTCTAGGATGAGCCTGCACTTGCAGGAAAGATTTTTCCCTGAACGTATTAATGGTGCTATCTAGGAAAGATTTATAAACAGATGGGAGGATTAATTACCATTACATATGCAAATGGGATCTGGACTTTGAGTTTTAAAATCATGAAGTCGTACAGAGTGTGCACAAAGTTAGAGCTGGACATAGTAATACATACGTAACATTGTAGTAAATTAACTATCATAGTTACAGTTCAACCTATGCCGAAGAAAACTTGGTATACGTCAGTAACCTATATATCATTAACTGCAATAATGCTATAGTTGTAGAAATGACTTGTATTAACATTTCCCTATAGCTGGTAATGTTCACCATAGCTTGCTAACCTGAATACCCATTGGTGTACTTTTTATTACACTTGGATCAGGTTTGGGGTAGCCATATGAGGTCCTCTGTTCAGCTTTCACAACTGGCTTCCTCTCTCTTTGGTCGTGCTGGTACAAGATGAACTGCAGCTGACTCTAATAGTAGCCTCATTTTATTAAACTAGCTCTGTGCTGCTTATTAGAATAGTTGTTTAACCTATAAATTCCATTTCTTCATTCCCCAGGACTCAGCTGAGACTTGAAAGCCTAGAAGACACTCACATAATCAAAGGGGAAGATGATGCTCTGTCAGATAAACATGGTTGTCCAGCATATGTCAGCCCTGAGATCTTAAACACCACAGGGACCTACTCTGGAAAATCAGCTGATGTTTGGAGTTTAGGAGTAATGCTGTATACCCTCCTCGTAGGACGCTATCCCTTCCATGACTCAGACCCCAGCACTCTCTTTTCTAAAATCCGCCGTGGACAGTTCTGTATTCCTGACTATGTCTCTCCCAAAGCTAGATGCCTCATCCGCAGCCTACTGAGACGGGAACCATCTGAAAGACTCACAGCTCCAGAGATCTTGCTTCATCCTTGGTTTGAAGCTGTTTTGGAACCTGGATATGCTGACCAGGATATAGGAAGTTCTGATCAAATTGTTCCAGAATTTCATGGAGACAGCGATGATATGAGTTCCTTTTTCTGTTAGTCTCAAACGCCTCAAAAACCTCACCATTCTCACTCATGGCATCTTTTCAGGGTTTCATTTTTTCCATGTTGCCGATGCACAGCATGCTGAAAGTGCCATTATGGTCAGAAAAGTGACTGTTTAAAAAACCACACACAAAAAAACCCAACAAAAAACAGAAATGGCAAGTGCTCCCTGGATGTGCTCCCTGTGTCTGTAAGGAATCATATCTACTTATTTGGACGGCAAGTAGTTACTGGTTGTACTGCAGAGACAATGCAGCTGTGGAAAAGCCAGCTGGTCTCTGTTCTGCCTCGTACATCATATGATCTCCATCAATGAGAAACTCACCAGCTGAAATTTGACTGCAGAGTCTTATTGCTCCTGATGTAAGAGACAGAAAGTGAGCAGCTTGGTTCCCTCCTTTACTCCACAGCAGTGAAGTGGAGTATACAGTCTTGACAGTGAAACAACTGAGGCGAGGCAGAAAGACTTCATGGTCTCATAAACTGAGTAAATCTGACGTGGAAATCAGTAAAAGGGGAACCATGGTGGGACACCATAATGCCTATTTTATAGACTAATTTTCTGGCTGTAAGTGCACTTTAATGGCAGGAGGAGTCTTAATCTACCAAGTCCAGCTACCTGCTCAGTTGTCAAGTAGAACCTACTAGCAGCAGATAGATGAAGCTATTAATCCATAAAAGAAACGCATATTAATACTCTTGCATTGGGCAGACTAACCCAGCGTCCCTTTGAGGAGGAGGCAATACATGATTATTTCATGTAATATCATCTTCCGGAACGTTAAAATAATTTTTAATGCATTTAAGCTTAACCATGCATATCCTGTGAAACTGTCTACCCTGGATGTATTTTTCACGTAGTCAGAGCCCTTTTTAATTCTGAGGATGCCCATTAGATAGCTGTGTACCAAGACATTTGTCCAAGCTGTGGCACCTCATCTGGCAAAACAAAGATAAGAAATATCTCAGACACCGTATGTAAACACTTTTGTTTTCCTGTGGGCTCAGTTCTTCAAGTCTTTGTATCTCCTGGGTTTAAAATCCTGTACAAAAACAGGACTTCAAAAGAATCCCCAAGTAACCCTAACGACCATTTAGTCTGCCTCTGGCTACAGTTGTTTTGTGGGGTGTTTTTGTTGTTTTTTTGCATGATGATTGGTAATATTTCAGATGTACGTGGATAATGAATTCATCAAAATCATTAGCTTCCTGGGTTGGGGATAAGTAGATCCAGGTCTGCCTAAGATTTCTGCTTTGTTTCACATGTGTACCTAGTTGATTATGTACAGAAATATTAATTTGCATTAAGTACGTGGCCAAGATGTGATGTATAAAAGGTTCTCAAAGCAAATGAGTTAAATAGGTGAATGACTGCTGTACATCAACGACACGGCACAGTAACAATGCAGTTCTTTGAAAGGGCTAACCCGTGGCAAGCTACAGTACCACCATGCATTGTGAGAATGCCATGTATACCTCATGTACTGTGTACTTTGTACATACCTTACTGTTTTGTGGGGGGGTTTTTTGGCTGTACTTTGTATGTCCTAATAACAGAGGTGTCAAAGATCAGTTTAATGTGAATTATTGTTGGCAATACTAACTTGACAGAATCATGAGCATTAGAGAAGGGCAAAGTACCTCTGTTGCACTAAAGCTCTCATGATTGCTTGACATTTTGTATCTGTGATACAGTTTTAAACCTTAATAAAAGTAAATTTTGTATATATGGGTAGACAAGTCTGCCACAAAAGGTAAAAACACTATGTCCAACCTGTAAATATGTATATATGTGGAAACCTGGATGTTAAAGTCTGACTTGTTGGCAAGTTTTAATAAACCTGGTTTCATAAATGCATGTTTTCAATTTTTTATTTATTTATTTTTGCTATCTGCAGGTTGAGTTTCCCTGTTTTTTGTTGCTAATATAGATCTGATTTTAAATGTGTTTTGATCTCAAAGATGCATATTTAACCTATGCTGCTTGTGCCTGTTTGGTCATACAGGAGATGATGCTATTTGCTTGGCACCAGACCCTGCAGTCCTCACTCAACATTTCTGTAAACTTCAGGGAGAGCTGAATAAGGACTACAAGGTATGCCTCCTAGTTCCTTTCACCTGGGGTCTTGAAGAAAGGGGGAGCAGGGGTTAGTAATTCATTAAATCTCACCAAAGCCCTATGCAGTGCATCCATTTTTGTGAATAGGGAAACTGAGGCAAAAGATTAAGTTTCCAATTTGCAAAAGCAGGTGCTAATTTTGACTGTCAGGTTTTGGATATTCAGTCTTAGAAATAAGGACCCAAATTCCCATTTCTATGCAATGTGTGTGTTCATGTATATTTGTGCACACTGGGTGTAAATGCTACCCCATCAGAATGCTGTCATTCTGCACCTGTGGACATGGCTACACAATGTGCAAGGCAATGGAAAATTGGATCCTCATGGCCTAAAACAGCAGCCCAGAATGGAGGCTGCTTTTAGAAATGTATGTTTTATCAACATGCCCAAGGGGACAGCAATTCAGTTGTGAATCAAAGCCAGGAGTCATTATTTCTATTCCCTACTGGCAATGCAGAAAATGTCTTGTGCTCCTATTAACAGGAAATCAAAATATAGAGAGTTGCTTTTCTTGGTGACTTGAAGAGGAGGAATATAAATAGTAACTGTATCAAGGATATAGAATGTACCTTCCTGGGGGAAAGAGCTGTCCTTATAACCCACCCAGGAATGGTGAGGTCGTCATGCTAAAGGGGAGAGGAAGAAAGGGATCTTGATTTTTTTTTTTTATTTATAACTTGCTTTGCATTTAACTTCGTCCTTGCAATTTAAATATGTTCACTGAAACTCATGCTTCTGTTAGATGCACTCTGCATGTGTCAAACTGCAGCAGCTTTTACTGTTTTTTTTTGAGAGGAAATTGAAGAAAAGGTTTGTAGGTAATTGGTCGATGCAGGAGAATTTCTCTTAACCTTAATTGCACCTTCGCTCTCCATTCTGAGAAACTGGTTTTGCGTGTAGTAAGCATATTTTCCTTGTGAGTGTACGTCACACCAAAATTCTCAAGTTACTTAACTGAAGTTATTTTTGTTGAAGCTGTGTATGTGTATGCACATACTACCTAGGTAGTCTGATTAAATTACCTACAACCCTACCATGAGTTATATCTTGGACAGAAGCCGTGACGCACCTTTATCAAATGCCTGCTGGAGACTCGTGCTTTGGTAAATGCTTGAAAGCCTTTGGACCTAATTTTTGCCTACAATTAAGTTGCCTTATAAAGCTAGGGTCTGGCCATTTATTATACTGCAAAGGAATTAAAATAAGCACACACGGTAGAGGTATCTGGAAACACCCCTTTGTATTATTTCAGGGATTGTAATGCAACATCCATTCAGAAGTCCAAATAAATTGGTATGATGCGGAAACCTCACAGTTTCAGAGCGTGTTGAAAGACCCAGTAGGTGACTAAAACTGTCATGGTGAGTGTGAGAACTTTTATTTATGCAAGATGTAGCTTTTGTTTTTGTGGGGGTTTGGTGACCTTGTGGGGCAAGATTATTTTTCTTGACTTGTCATTGCTTTGGTCCTGAACCTACAGGATCATGAAGCTCCTGAGATGCAGACAGTGTTTAGTTTTCATTGACTATCCACTGTGTGCACGTGCAATTGTGGTTGTTCAGTGCTCCATGTAATTGGAACCCAAAGCAATGTTCCCATCACTTCTGGGAATATGAAGGCTGGATTTTTTTAGTTTATTATTTTTCAAATTACTTTTTCAGTTCTAAAGTGATACTGAGTCTTTATTTTGCGCCTCATGACAACATGTTTTGCTTTTTTCTATAACAGCAAAGAGAATCAGCTTAATCCTTTGGCTAACATAGGAAAAAGGACAGCAAACTCAGAGTTAAGGTTAAAACTTCTTAGCCCGGCCACCTGTTCCTGAGTAAGTGAAGAGGCAGGTGATATTTCTCATGCTATATGTAGACACACTTGGACAAGTTAATACAATTTCATTTTTTTAAAGTGAGTTTATTTCATAAGAGTCCTAATCTTGGTTTAAAACACTTTTGCACAATTGTGTTAGCAGCTGAAGAATGGGGTTGTTACACAGAGAGATACAACCTTAAAATTCATTCTGCATGATTAAGTTGTAAAGTTGTTTAATGTGCTTTTTCTGTAGTTCTGCTTTCATGGATTGAGTCAAGAACAGAGGAACAATTTTAAAAACCCTCATTATTCAGTCAGTGTTAAATCTGTTCTGTGGGGTCTCCAGTCAGATTATATTTTATGCAAAAGTGGATTTGTAAAAAGCTTCATGCTCTTATTTTCCATTGCAAAAAAAAATGTTTAGCATGGTATTGCATATATACCATTCTGTACAAGCCTGTTATGCAAATCAGTTTTCAAACATTTTCTTCATAAAGGACACTTATAAAATGCATTGACTCTTTAAAGTCTGCTCTATTTATCCAGTGTTCATAAAGCCATGTTCCAAACTCATCTGCTGCCAAATTCCTCTGTTAAATTAAATCTCTCTTTGAACTATTGGTGATTAAAAATGCTGTAAAGTCTGCAATATTTTTCTTTATATGACTTCTATAGCTTATCAAATATTTGTCTTTAGAGTGAAATCCTTCTGTCATGTTTCAGCCCCGATTACAGTTTCACCACAAAATTACAATCCTTAAAGCCATTAGTTTGTAGCAAGAAATAATGATGAAACCAGCCACCTAGAAAATGCTTCAAAGAAAACTCCATAGTTGCTCTGCACTGTATATGCTTATTTACAGTATTTACCAGATAAACAAACTGATCTGCAGCACTTTGCTTCCTAATTTGGCTTTGAAGCTGTAGCAGCAGAAGTATCAATTACATTCTGTCAAATACAAACATTAACATAACTGTATGAAGCAATCATGTTTCTAACAACAGCAGGCAGTGGACAGAGGACCAAAATAAATAAAATCCAAAGAGCGAGAGGCGATGCTTTTCTTTGCACTAAGGTTATGGGTTGGTGGGGGGATGGAAGAGAGCTGTCCTCTCCAGGAATGCTGGCATACAGAATGGTAACTTGCGTGGTTATGTACAGGGGCACACAGATTGCGTCTTCTCACACTGAAATGCAGATGATTAATGTGCTAGTTGTACAGCAAGGATTTAGTCTCATCATACTGGGTGTGGATTTCTGCACACAGCTTCCATTATTAATTGTGGCTAATTAGTGTGTAAGCTGAAGAAAGAGACGAAACTATACTTTGGTGGTGTGGTGTGAGCTCATATGCAGGCTTATCGTTCTAAGAAATACCAGGGTGACACAGAGGGTGGGTAACAGAAAATAAATGTGTCATGAATCAGCATCTCCTGTTTGTTTATTATACAGCTCTATTGTGGGGAAAATATTCTCCCTCACTAGCTAGTGTCCCTTGCCAACAACCAAAGTTGAGTTTGATAAATTATTAGTGGAGATGTTCTCAGTGGCTTTGCTTAGATTTTACTCCTCTTGCGCAAATTGCAGATTAGGAAAGGATTAAGTAACAACAGTGTGGCTAAAGTATTACACATAACATTGGCTATTAGCCAAGGAATGTAGCATGCAAAAACTGACATTGCCTAACAGCTCAAATATAGCTCTGGCCACCACAGAAAATGACTCTCCCTGTTACCTCTGTTAAACAGTATCTTGCTGCAGCAATGTGTTCGCTTATGATACTTTTTACTTCACTTATGGTACTTTTTACTAGTGACAAATCCATAAATGTTTAGATGAGTCACAGAAACCATAAGTGTAATTGAGTGTAAAAACCATTGTTGGATCGTAAAATAATAGTCATGTCAAGTCTCAGCTTGTCACATTTGTGGGAACTGTTAATGTTTAAATGTTCAAAGATTTCACAGCGCAACAGACCAGGAGGCAAAAGTCCCAAATAACTCAGGATCAAATCCTGCTCATGTCTTTTGGAAACCACCTGCATGAGTAAATGCTACTCACTGTGAGTAGTAAGGGTTGCAGAGTAAGACTCATGGAGACTACTTGAATATAGAAGGCAAACAGGATTTAGCGCTTGCTATCCAGGTGAGACTTTAGAGCATACTCAAGGCTTAAGTTGGCCCTACAGAATGAATTATAATCTGCAAAACATGAAAGGCAAGGTCCTTGCCCAGGAGAATAAATACCAACACTCCCAATTAACATCTGTGAGTAGGGATTTCACCCAGAAAGCTTATACATTCAAAATACACTACAACTAAATTCCTTTGCCTTATCAGAAGACAAGGTGGCTGGACTCTCCATTGCTTGATGCTTTGTGGAGTCATTTGTACCAGCACAAAACAAGTGCAACATGCATGTAGGACACTCAAAACACTTGTTTTTACCAGTGCAAACAGCTGCACAAAGTGCAGAGCAATGGGGAATTGGGCCTAGAGAATGGAAAATTTGCCATCAGTTTTCCCAACTCCTATGTCCATGAGTTTCTCAATAATGTCTGGGAGAGCCCTGGCCACCACAGTCAAGTCAGATCCTCCAAATTTCATTTATACACAAAAAAAAAAAAAAAAAAAAAAAAAAAAAAAAAAAAATT